ATGTATGGATCGTGATACGTGTTGTACGAGCTTCCAATAAAATGATTTAAGAAAGAAAAAAAGAATAAACATGATCACTTTGCAAAAAAGAAAGAAAATTGAAGACCCATAGAAATAATCAGTCCAGTGAACTCAAGCATCAGTCTCTACAACTATGAGACTAGAAGAACTAGGTGTGCCCGCCTACCTGAACTGTTCTGAAAGGGATCCGATTAGAAGGTCACTTTAGATACAATGACAAAAAAAGGGAAAAAACTCAAAATCATAAAAACAGACCAGGCTTACTGGTTGGGTAGGGATACTGGTAGAATCCCGGAGACCCTTAGATGCCCTTGAGGTCTACAAATGAACTCTCCCCAACGGTTTCATTTTCAGGCAAACGATTGACCAGTCTATAAAGAACAAATCCACTAGGAAGGTAACTCACACTTGAAGTAACTAACCATTTGAGAACAAAGGACAGAATTTACCCAAGGATCAATTTCCAAAGGGTTAGGAAAGGAAGAATGGAGATGGGAAACACAAAGAAGAAGTGGGATAAGTGATGCTACAGTGGGGATTACAATCAATGACATGAAACAAAATGTGTATAAGTTGTTAAATGGAAGGCTGATTTACTCTATTAACCTTCAGCAAATTCACAATAAAATGTTTATAAAAATTAAATGAAGTGAGAGAATAAAATAAAGAACTAAAAATTTTAAAATATACCAATAAATTTGACAAATATATATACTATATATATAGCAAATGTGACAAAGGATTAACATACATATATATAAATATATTATATAAAGGAAATACTTAGATATATAAGAATACCACTAAACATACCACTAAGATTTCAATTGGAAAAGATGAACAGATAATATACATAAGAAGAAATAGAAATAATAAACATAGAGAAAACTTCAATCCCACAAGTAATCAAAGAAATGAAATAAACAAAATAATTTTTAGACCATGTTCAAATATTTATTATATCATTCAATGTTAGAACTGCAAAAGAACTGAAATACTATGTATCATGTAGCATTGGGAATTTGTACAGTCCTTTTGGAAATCACAATCAATAAAAATGTTCATGCACTGTGGTCTGGTAATCTCACACCTAAGGTTATCCTAGGGACAGAATTGCGAGCAAGGAAAAGCCATAGACTTTCAGATCTTCAAGTAACAGAAAAAGTGGAGTCACATAAGTGTCCAGTTATAAAAGAATAGTCAAATAAATTATACTCTTTTGAAGGATTAAATTCTATATAGCCATTTAAATGATAAGTATAACAGACTGCAGCAACAAAGAAAACATTTACAATAAATTTTTTTCAAAAAGTATAATTTTATATAAGATGTACTGGTGTACACAAACTTACAAAACATGGAACATGGAAAAATGTATATAGTTTAGAGTTTGAAAGTATAGAGCATTTCCTTTCAAATTTTCCTTTTATGTTGTCACAGTAGAGCATTTAATAAACTATTATGATAAAAATTCTATAGAGGACATGCGACTACGTCAAGTGAAGTTGAGAAATCAAAGGGGATAAAAGTAGAGAAACAGTGAAGGTCTTTCTTAGGAAGTAATATATGTTCTTGTAGATTCAGGAAATTATAGGAAGGTAAAAGCCAGATTCGAGGAGCTAAGAGGTGATTTTGTGGTGAGGAAATGGGGTTTATAGTACTCTTTCTAGAAATTTGGCAGTGAAGTGAGTAAGATTGATAGAATGGTAGTAAGAGAGACAACAGGATCAAGATGTTTGGGTTCTTTGCTGTGTGTAATATGTATGTGTGTAATGCTTTGTCTTTTGCCGTGTGTGTGTGTGTGTGTGTGTGTGTGTGTGT